GTCATGCCCCACTTTCCCCTCCCTAGACCCTGGCAACCACTAACTGCTCTCTGCCTCTATAGATTTACCTGTTCTGGGAATTTCATATAAATTGGATCATTCAACATGTGGTCTTTTGTGTCTGGTTTGTTTCACTTAGCATAATGTTTTCAAGGTTCATCTATGTTGTAGGATATATTGGTACTTTGTTCCTTTGTATGGCTGAACCAATATTTCATTGTATGACTATACCATATTCTATTTACCCATTCCTCAGCTGATGAACATTCGGGTTGTTTCCACCTTTGGCTATTGTGAATAGTGGCACTATGAACATTCATGTGGAGAGCGGCTTCTGTGTTTGGACAGGTTCAAGCCTCGGACTGATGAGAGGGCACAGTCCTCTCATTGTCACATGCAAGTCCCAACTTGGAGGGCAAAGGCCTCCCAGCACAATGATAGCCAGAGGCTACAGTTGTAAGCTTGAACTTATGGTCAGAACACCTGGCCCCACGTGTCTGAGTGATGTGGGCTTGATAGAGTTCAGGTGCATATAACTGAGTAGATTCAAACATTGTTAACATCTTGACTACACCCTTACTTTGCCTCATGGAATCTGGCTATAAAATAAAGACTCGGATTATAGGCTGTGCAGCTGTTGCTAACTCTCCATCAGAGAGGACAGCATCCCACCCAGGCCCAGCTTTCTTCTCTTATCTGTCTTTTCTCAATCCTTCACTGTCCCCTCTCAGGCTCACCGAACCTGGCTAAGCTGGCTCGGCACACATTCATATCCAAGGTTTTGTTTGAATGCCTATTCCAACTCTTCTGAGTTTATATCCGGGAGTAGAATTGCTAATAGTAATTCAATGCTTAACTCATTGGGGGAGCCCCAAACTGTTTTCACAGCTAGTGCACCATTTTACATTCCCATGTTATGCACTGGGTTCCATAGATTAAAATTGTAACTACACACTTTGGTGGGGCAAGACTGTCCTGACATGAATAAAACACTTTTTTCTACTTTTAAGAAACTGACATTCACCAAAGGGATCCAGGTAATAAGTTAGTAAATATTAATCTTTTTAATTTTTTTCAACTATTTAATAAATATAAAACCTGTTCTTAGTATGTGGGCCATACAAAAATAGGCTGTAAGCCCAGTTTGGCCCAAAGTGCTATAGTTTTCTGACTCTTGGTACAGATTTCCACTCACCAATGCTGATTTAGCTACTGCCAAGGCATAAATGTTAATACTGAGCACTTGATTGATCCCTCATAACTGGTTCCTGTTGGCCTTACCAACAGGAAGATGTTGGGTAATTGTTATATTGATACTATGAGGAAGGAATATATGTGAAGCCCAGGTGATCTAGTTCAGCTCCTCTTGATATTCTTTGATGATTGTACATGAATGGACAAGTGCCCTTCTCAGGCAACCCTGGCCTGAGAAGGACATGTTGACCAGGGGCTCAGACCACCACTGGTAAGCTATCAAGATTTAAGAAATGATTGTAGAAAGTGAGGATAGTAGAAGAGGGAGAGGATGAGTACCAATTGTGGCCCGAGACCAATTGCAGTATAGGGGCTGTAGTTCATCTCAATAATCTCCCTCTTCTGAGTTTTCCCCTTAGAAAGAGAGACCCAAAGGACCCATAACAAAGCTGCTCCCAATATAATAGTATAAGAATAAGGGGATCTACACAGAGCAAGGTATGGACTTTGGCCACCATGGAAGTGTGACCCTTAGATCTCCCTTCAAGAGTAATGCTACCACAATGTGTGTAGTTAGCTTGCAGTCTCAGCTGTAGTGCCTTCATGATCCACTGCAGCATCGGAGTTGAGGCCATGCTCTGCCCAGGCAGATCCAACCAAAGAGTGTGCTAGGGCCTGGCCATTCTTGCCCAACACAGGACTCTCCTATGGGTGATCTTTATGCCAGGGCTCCCTGTTGAGCTGGTAAAATTTTTTCAGTGCTGTACTAAAATATGAGGTTCTTTCTAACCAATCTTCCTTGCTTCCTTCTCTATGTTTACAGGGTCAGATCTGGCCTGAAGATACTCCCTTCTCCTGCTCCCTTTCCCTTTCATATTTTGTGGGCATTAATCCAAAGAAATATCTTGCATCTCTCACTCCATCCTGGCATCTGTTTTCTGGAGGACCTACCATATGACCTAGCAATTCCACTTCTATTTACTTAGAATATGCAGCCCTTTGGCCCCTTGAGTGTGGCTCTTCTACAAAATACCACGTGTGGGCGCGCATGTACAGTGCGATTGAAACTTTGTGGCCCATGTGCAGAAGTTGGTTTTCGGCTCTCAAAAGAAATTTCATCGTTGTACTGTTGATATTTGGCTCTGTTGACTAATGAGTTTGCTGATCACTGACTTATAAGAACTGAAAACATACATCCACGAAAAGATTGGTGCACTGATGTTTATGGAAATTTCATTTATAATGGCCCCAAACCTGCAACAATCCAAATATCTAGCAAGAGGTGAATGGGTAAACAGATTGTAGTACAGCCAAATGTATTAAACATTTTTCAGAGAAACAGAACCAATAGGATGTGTGTGTATGTGATTGATGATTGATTGATTATACAAATGAATTTAAGGAATTGACTACATGATTATGGAGGTGAGAAGTCCTAAAATCTGCAGTTGGCAAGCTGCAGACCTGGGAGAGCCAATAGACCGAAGTCCTAGCATATGCTTTTCAAACTTTGTATTACCCCTTTTTGTCCTCAGCTGTAGACATAACGCCCACAGCTCCAGCAGCCATTTTATGACCAGGAGGCAATTTGAGTATAGATGTCAGGGCTGGCAATAATGGGGAAGAAAGAAAGAAGAAAAGCCTGGATGTCCCGAGGCTATCATATCAGTCCTGTACTCCCTATTCCTGATGTATCATTATAGAAAAAATAAATAAACAAGTGAAACTCCTAATTTGTTTAGACCACTCCGTAAACCTGTGTCCTCATCTATAAAATACAGGGAATGCCAGGCATGTCTTATTAAACAAATTTAAAGAGCATGCTTCTAATTGATTGTTTGCCCACGGAAACTGAGACTGTGTAGAGCAAGAAACTCTAATCAGATGAACAGTTTGGAAACTGAAAGTATGCTCCCCTAAGACAAAGGGGAGGCCAACTTTTACAAGGTACCCTCCCTGGTTCATTTTTATGCAAATGAGAAAACGAAATGTGCAGTTTTATTGATCCAAATAGCACAATCATGATTGGTTATCTTTGAGCATCCTGATTGGTGATTATAGATTGGTCAATAAAGATGCAAATGAGGATATGTTTGTACAGCTCTGAGTATATGGGGCAGGTCTCTCCCAGTTGTTCAAAAGAGATTCCAAGAACTCCTTTATAAGGATCGGCTCAGAGGGAGGAAAGCAGTAAACAAGGTTTAGCAGCATAGTCTGTGCCTTTTCCCTAAAATGCAGCATTTTTGTGAGAGACACTATAGACTCTATAATCTGAGCTAAATTAACCATCAGGAGTCCTTGGCAGGTATATTCCTTATTGGAGTTAACACTGTGCAAACCTGTTTTTAGGAAAAATCTTTTAAAAACCCAAGCCTATCATATTACTGTCTTATATTACAAATCTGCAATAAGCTCCATGTTGTTTTGTGTTGTTGTTTTTTTATCACTGAACTTCCAGCATCTAGCATAATGTCTGAGCCACAGTAGGTAATCAGTAAATGTTTTAATAAATTTTCTCCAAACCTTCTTGGAAGACCTAAATGTAGAAAAACAACAGCTCCTTAGAATACAATAGACTATCATCACCCATGTCAAACCACTTGACTGCTTTAGATGCTGATGGATACAAAAATACTGCATTTATATAAAAGTAAAAGCTCATTCAATTAAACAGGACTTGTGTCCCTGCTAGGTGCTTGGCAGTGCACTGCATGGCGTTCTAAAAGGTGAACCCTTCAGCTCCCAAAATGGAGTCTGGTAAAAAAAATAAATAAATAAATAAAAAAAAATGGAGTCTGGTGATCAGAGAATGGTACCTTAACTGTGGTCTGGGAGGGGCCCCAGGACCCTTTTTAAGGTGGTCTCCAACGTCAAAACTATACTATAATACACTATTTGCCATTTTCTCTAACAAATGTAGAATGGAGTTTTCCAGAGACTCTATGTGTTGAAAGGTAGTGCAATGTCTGCTTGTGTATTGTGTCAAATTTTTCATAATTCTAATTCTGTGAATATTAATAACTATAACCCACATACATACACAAAGCTCTTTGGAGTCTTCCATAATTTGTCAGGGTTATGTAAATCCTTTGTAAAGGGGTTCTGAAACCAAAGTTGGAGAACCACTGAAATACAATACACTGTAGTTGACAACCACTAAGATGTGAAGTTGGAGTTGCAACCCAAAGGTTGAGCATGCGTAAAATCAGAAGGAAACAGCGTGGTAGTGGAGGAACTGGCCATGCAGGGCCTGGGCCAGGGGCAGCCTGGACAGAGGCTCTCAGGCAGTGCGCCCACAACGTGCAGAAAGCAAGGGAGAGACAGGCCCGTCTCTTTCCAAGGACACACATACTCCCCTTTCACAACTCGATAGGAGAAGCTGTAAATTCTTCTCTTGCTGGTCAGTGATCTAATAAAAGCCAGGGCATAACTTGGACCACACAGGAAACCGTACGCTATGGTGGCCTCTCGGAATTATAATGTCTAAAACTCCGTCCAGTTAGTAATAACTGTAAAGTTTGGCACAGGAGAAAAATATATAAATATATCTGCTTTCTGACTTAGCGGAGGGGGCTGGGAGGAAAGGAATGTAAGGGCGGGAAAATAAGGCATTAAAGAAAGAAAACGCGCGCTGGGGGCCGGGGGGGGGGTGGAGGAGGCAGTGCGAACGGCCAATGAATGAGACGCTGGCTGCCGCACGTATCCCGGCGTCCGCATGCGCAGGCGCACGCCGGAAGATCTCGCGGGAAAGAACAGTTGCCAGTCCCGGCGCGGCGCCCGGAGGTAGGGGGTGGGGGGGGTGGAGGCGGGAGTGAAGTCTCGCGATAAGAGGCCGTTGCCGTAGCGGAGCCCTCTGGCAGTGTGTGTGAGGACTCAGTGCTGGAGCCGTGGACGGTTTGTCCAGCCCGTTAGTGCTCCCGCCGAGACTCACGCCGCCGTCATGTCCCGCTACCTGCGTCCCCCCAACACGTCTCTGTTCGTGAGGAATGTGGCCGACGACACCCGGTAAGTACCGGGAAGGTACTCCAGGTCGACGCGAGGAGGCCGCAGGCGCTCGGAGAGGGATCCTGGCGGCGGCGCGCGGGGCCGGGGGAGGGGAGGGTCGAAGATGGCGGGCTTCAGGCCGGAACCAGGCCGCGCCGCCGGCTCTACCGCCGCGTGGGAGCGAGGGCGGCGCCCCAGGTCCTCCCCGGCCGCTGCGGGCCGCGCGGACCGCGTGGCGTGGTTTCAGCCCCCCACCCCCCGCGGCAGTTCGGGGTGGGGGGCCCTTTCTCCGGGCTTTCTCGCCGGCTTCCACCCCCTGCCGCGGCCGACATCCGCTCCCCATTGAATTGAAGTTCACATTCTTGGAGGTGCACGCCCCCCTCGGCCTGGGATCTTTTATTCTTTTCTTTTTTAATTAAAAAAATTTCCAGGCGAAATAACGGGTCGGGGGAGGGCAGTGCGGCGAAGCGTTTGATACCCCCCCCCTTTTTTTATATTTGTGATGTTTTAAATGGAGACCTTTAAAGGAAAGGAATATTGTTAAGATTTGGAACATCACTTTTTTTTTCTTCTTTTTTTCAGTTAAACGGTACGAACTAGTTTTTCCCGTTTCCCGGAAATACTGGTCACCCTTGGAGAACGGGGCTTAAGGAGCCTCTACCGGGAGGGCGTTGATTACTAAATTGGATTAATCCAGAACCTGCCTTTGTTCTCGCAGCTCCCTTAATTGCTTGGCTTTGCCGTTAGAATTTTTTGAAAGAGGTCTTACACAAAATGAGAGTTTATATTTCACAAATAATCGCTCTGCTGCCCCCCTCTCCGAAATCAAATATTTTTGCTATTCTTGTATAATCTACATTTTCCTGTCCTGGTTTTAAATAGGGAAAGTAAACAGTAGTGATTATTCTAGCGTTCTGGGGAAACTTCCCCTTTGTCATTTGACATTTTTAAGGAGTTATATATATTCGTGAGATTACTTTCAAACTGTTTAACATGTCGCTAAAATTTTAGGGTGAATATATGTGTTTGGCATTATTCAGAGTATGGAGTTGGCTTGAAATTTAAAAAAACACATTAGTAATACCTACATACAGCCTAATGCTTCTATACCTTTTGTGAAAAATGAAGGATGTGGATAAACAGTAGAGATAAATTGTGATCAAGTTCCCTAAATGTCTGTTTTCCTGGTAACGTAAAACAGTAATGGATTTTATCGTAAACTCCATTTTTTATCTTCTGAAATCTTGGGTTCTAGCCTTTATCAGAAAGATACCTTGCCTGTACGTATCTTTTTTGTGTGTTCTTAAGATTGGCTCTTAATATTGAGATTCAGAAAGTTTGTCTGTTTCAGGTCACCCAGGGACACAGTCCTTTTCATTAACCTGAGACATTAAAAAGAGATAGCTATTTCTTGCAAAGAAAGCCAACATAAAAACTTGGGGTCTTTTTACGGTGTTTTAGGTCTGAAGATTTACGACGAGAGTTTGGTCGTTATGGTCCTATAGTTGATGTGTATGTTCCGCTTGATTTCTACACTCGCCGTCCACGAGGATTTGCTTATGTCCAATATCCTTTCTTCAGATGGCTGATTAGTGAGGGGTGTTGGAGTTTGAAACTCAAGTTTATGTAAGAGGTAACATCTAAAAAGTGGTTTACTTTTTTAAATGTCTGTCTTCCCATTCTGAAAAATTAATTCTAACTCACATTGCTCTGTTTAAGTTAATACAAACTAGTAAGACATTTAAATTCCCATTTATGCTGCTGAAACTCAAATCGGTGATTTAACATGTGATTTGAATTTGAATACACTCTTGATTCCTACCACCTTTAATGTAAGTCAAATTAAAAGTTAATATGTTCTTGTGCTTAGCAATGAAAAGTTTGGTATTCTTGTTTGTTAATTTGAATCACTTGATCAAAACAAATTGTATAACAATGAGGTAAACTCTTTAATATTGTCCCCTAATTTGCTGTCCTCTGTTGTTACCTCAGAGAATGTAAAGCTGTACAGTTATGGCGACCCCAAAGAGAAAGCATGAAAGAACCGTTAGAGTAGAGTTCAACACTTAAGGCAAGTAGACAAGCCAAAGACCTCTTAAGGATCAGGCTTGAAGAGAAGGGAGAGTTTGGGAAAAGAAAAAGTAAAGAAAAGCTGGAAGAAGGACAAGCCTAATGGGAGACAAAGCCTCGCTTTATCTACAAAAGGGGGAAAAGGTTGTTTTTCAAAGTTAAAGATAAAGCCATCTGTCATATTTGGCCAAGCATCTCATGACAAGTCCTTCTGACAAGCACTTAAAGAGTTAAAGGTCAAGATGAAGTTGAATGATGGCCAAGATTAAAGGAATCATACCTGATGTATCCTACAGAATAACTATTTTCCCCTTTTTTTTTCTCCCTCTTCATGTTTTGTAAGCAGTTAATTTTCAAAATTTTTGGTTTGGTTTAGGGACAAAACCTGTAACTTGATTTATGTGGGCCTTGGATGTTGTGATTGTGGTCTTATTTAATGCACTTTCGCAGCTTTGCAAGTTAAAGTGTACTACTAGGATGTAATGTTTTAAGCTTACAGTTTAGCATATTTCTGTTTTGGACCAGGTGGTCAGGTGCCATAGGATAGAAGGCAGTGCCCTGTAGAGTAGTCAGTCGCGTGAGGTTCTCTGGTCAGTCTGACTCTCCACAGAGCCATGCTTATGCTTAAAAGCAGAGAGATGCATGTACTGGGAACTACTTAGAAACAGTTCTGGTTGTGTTACAGGGTCAGATCTACAGAGAAACTAGATAGATTTTAAAGTGGCTGCTGCAGGGCACACACATGTTCCTAACTTCTGGAACTTGGGTCTGTGATGCCTGCTGACCATGCACTGCTTTAGCACTTACGATTGGTTGGCTCTTCATAGATTGGAAAAGGCCTTTGGAAATCATTCCCTGGCCCAGAGTTTCACAGTGATATTGTTTCACTGAGATAATCTCTCGGAGACAACAAAGGTTTGGGCTGTGTACTTCAGGCTAGGGAAATTTCTTTCTTGTTGCTTCAGTTCACAAAGTCTCTTGAAACTTAGTGAAGTGGAGCCCTAGCTAGTTGGGCTCAGTGGATAGAGGATAGGCCTGCAGACTGAAGGGTCCTGGTTTTGATTCTGGTTAAGGGCACATGCTTGTGTTGCAGGCTTGATCTGCAATGGGAGGTGTGCAGGAGGCAGCCGATCAATAATCCTCATTGATGTTTAAAATCAATAAATAAATTAAAGGAAAAAATATTTAAAAAAAAAAAAGAAAGAAAAAGAAACTGGAGTCCTAGTGAAACTTAATGAGCAAATGTGGAAAGTTGCTACTCCCACAGGGCCAGTGATCGAGGACCGTTGTGGCAATTTGTTGCAAAGTTGTATTACAAAGAGGGTAAGATATCTGGCTTGATTTTTTTTTTTTAATTTTATTTATTTTTAATTTTTATTTTTTAGTAGCAATGCATTCTGTTGACCTGGTTTTAGAGTGGCCTGTGACCCAGGAGCAGCAGTAGTTTAACTCACTTAAGACCGTAAGTGTTGTCATCTAAGGAAAATTGACTTTTTTATACACATACTAGAGGCCCTGTGCATGAAATTCGTGCACTTGGGGGGGGGGCGTCCCCTCTGCCTGGCCTGCGCCCTGCTGCAGTCCCAGAGCCCTCGGGGGATGTCCAACTGCCAGCTTAGGCCCACTCGCCACGGAGGTGGGAGAGGCTCCTGTCACTGCCATTGCACTTGCCAGCCATGAGCCCAGCACTGACCACCAGGAGTAAGCTCCTACATTGAGTGTCTGCCCTCTGGTGGTCAGTGCATGTCATGGCAATTTATTTTGCTATTTGGTTGGTTTGCATATTAGCCTTTTATTACATAGGATTGTTCTGCCATTCTGTTGATTTGCATATTAGCCTTTTATTATGTAGGATGGTTTTTTCTGTGGTCTTAAATTTTTTTTTTTTTAAAGAAGACTGAGTAGAGATTTCTCCATAAGTGGCATCAGAATGACATTTGTCTGCCCCTTCTGTAGCCACTTGCCTTCTTTTAAAGGTCAAGTAAAACCTTGTCATTGTTCATCCAACCCAGGATTCTGGTTTTGAGGATAGCCAAAACAGATGATTTGGTCTTGTAAATTTTTATACCTCTTGATCTAAGTCCCTTAAAGTAAATAAATAAACAAATATACCCATTAAGTGAACATATGTCTTTTAATTACTTTAGAACCCAACTGCATTAACCTTGAAGGCTTATCTGTTACAGTATTAAATTACTAGTCTTTGTCTTGTCATATTGAAGATCCTATGATTTTGGACTTGGGATAACCTTTCCCTCTATATTAACTCACGTATAATAATGCCCTCAGGAAAAAGAACTGGAAACCCACCATGGTCCTTAATTTATTTCAGAATAAAAAAGGAAATCTAGTGAGACCAACCTTTTAGTCTCTGAGAAAAAAAGAATAGTGTCAATCTTGGAGGGGGAGAGGGAGGGAATATGTCACTTGGAGTAGTTTTCACTCTGCTCTCAAAATCTCTCAAATTTAAGAAACAGAAAAATAGGCAAGTTCAAATTATGCCTTAGGATAGAATAAATATCTACACTCAAACCTAACTAGCTCCCTTTCCAAAACTTTTACATCAAGTACTGTTCTGAATATGTGCTTGGCTTCCATTAGAATAGTGGATTTAGGAAAGGCACTAAACTTAGAGATAAATGAAAAGCCAAGAGTTTTTGGTGTTATTGCTGGCATTGAGGAGAAAACAAGGCAACTTAGCCTCAGATAAAAACCAGGGACCAAGAGCCCAGTTGGCATGGCTCAGTGGTTGAGCATCTACGTATGAACAAGGAGGTCATGGTTGGATTCCTGGTCAGACATACCCCCATATTGCAGGCTCCATCCCCAATGTGGGGTGTGCAAGAGGCAGCCTATGAAAGATTCTCACTGATGTTTCTCTCCCTCTCTGAAATCAATAAAAATATATTAAAAAACAAAATGGGGCCAAGAGTTCCTACTTTATGATGCTAGATAATATCAAAATGCTCAGGATAAAGCTAGTCCCAAACTCACTTCTTGGTTGGATGCTGTGTTAGTATCATTGATGTTAGGGCTTTTCAGTCCAGGAATCTATAGAAATGGTCAGTTATTTATTGAGAGCATGCTTGTCTGCGTGGCTGTAATACACGTTTGGTACAGTGATATCTTGAGTATTGCTTGATTCTGTTTTGTTTACATTATTGCAAGTGGCTAGTTACCATCCCTCCCTGTGGTATAAAGAAAGACTACTGTGTTACACAATAGTGTTAGAAATGTCTGAGTAAAACGGCAAAACTTAAGGTTAATGCGTTCCTCTCGTAGGTGAGATATATTCATTCTGCTTGCTTACACAAGAACTATTGGCAATTTTTTTTTCATTTGAAATAAAAATAGGATATTTTTGGTTTTATTTTTTAAGAGATTTTTGTTTTAACGTACAACAGAACTGACACTTGTTTTTCTTTTTGTCTTGTAAAGTTAATTCTTAAAACAGGAAAGTTTTTTGATAGGATTATTTTGTTATTTCAGCTATAATTTATTTCAATAATAGTTTGACTATTCACATGTGTTTTCAAACATATGCCTTGGAAATTCACAAGTGCTTTGCGAAGTATTTATAGCTGATTCAGCCAGCTAGTGAGGGGTCTGATCTTCTAGAGTAATAATGAAAGATTAATAATATTGTGAATTTTTCAAGATTTACCAAGTGAACTTTCACTCATTATCAAAGTTCCCAAAATTTCCCAAGCCCCTTAACATTTAGCACATTTGAAGATGTTCGTGATGCTGAAGATGCTTTACATAATTTGGACCGAAAATGGATTTGTGGTCGCCAAATTGAAATACAGTTTGCACAGGGAGATCGGAAGAGTAAGTACCTTATGCCTAATATGTTTATAAAGCATAATTTGAAAACATAGAATATCTTGAATACTTTGTTTCATCATATTTTTAGATGTATTACAAAGTTTTGGGGTAGCCATAAGGTAATGAGAAGACAGGAGTGCCTGAATTATCTTTGGACTCTTAAGTGCATTGATGCTGTCAGCTGTGGCATGTTTAATCTATTCTACTGGGAGTGAAACTGAAGGTTAAAATTCAGAAAGTTTTGGGTCTCGAGCTATTTTTCTTCATAAAACATAATTGGGTGATTATGTGAGTGTAGAGCTATGAATTAGACTGGGAAAGGCTATGTAGATTAAACCTAGAATAGATTTTATATTACTGTTTTTTTTTAGTATGCAGATGTTAACTGTGCTAATAAGGCAGTAGTACAGGCTTTGAAGCCAGATAGACCTGGGTTTGAATTCTGTCTCAACAATCGTTATCTTGGACAAGATACAAAAATATAGTGATTAAAATAGCTGAGGAAGAGAGGAGGAGTGCTTAGGTAAACATAAGCTATTGGTAATCTCTAGGTCTTTGGTCGGGTGTTCACTGTTATTTATGCATATATATATATACACATACATAAAGTACCTGCTTAGAATTGAATGAGATAACAAATATTGACTGTCTAGGGGTGTGGGTGTACCTGAGGCATTCAGTAATGTTCACTCTCTTGCTTTTCTTTGTTGTGGCCTCTTAAAATTGTATGACAGTATATTGCTGCCTTTTTTTTTTTAATATATTTTTTTAATTGATTTCAGAGGGAGGGAAAGGGAGATAGAAACATCAATAATAGAAAATCATTGATTGGCTGCCTCCTGCACGCCCCCTACTGGGGGATTGAGATCCTCTAGTCCACAGGCCAATGCTCTATCTACTGAGCCAAACCGGCTAGGGATATTACTGCATTTTGACACACATTGTTCATAGCTTACCAGTAAGTATTTTGAAATTGTTAATTGTATTCTTAATGAAAGTCGGGGTGAGATGACTCCAAAATAGCATCTAGTTCAAAAGTCATATATTTCTAAATATATCTGTTCTACGTCTTTCATAGCTCCAAATCAGATGAAAGCCAAGGAAGGGAGGAATGTGTACAGTTCTTCACGTTACGATGATTATGACAGATACAGGCGTTCTAGAAGCCGAAGTTATGAAAGAAGGAGATCAAGAAGTCGGTCCTTTGATTACAACTATAGAAGATCCTATAGTCCTAGAAAGTAAGTGTGATGTAGCACAGTGATCTGTCAAGAAAGACTTATGTTTGTTAGCTTTAAATTAAAAAAAATTTTGTGTAATTCTAGTTATATACATTGTATGCTTTGTTGAGACTAAAAATAATTTAGTGTTTAATTTAAAAAGTTTTATGGTTCACTTTTTAAATTAGAAACTTTATAAGACTGTAAATAGACATTTGTCACTGTTTGCTTTTTCTGGTGTACTTTTTAGCAGTAGACCGACCGGAAGACCACGGCGTAGCAGAAGCCATTCCGACAATGATAGGTAAATAACTTTGCTTTGAAAGAGACTTACACATTTTTTCAATTTCAGAGTGAACTTTTGCTCTAAAACTAATAAATTTAATTAATATAGAATCTTAATTTTTACTCTAATTGTATCTCTCCTCTGTTTTGAAAGATTCAAACACCGAAATCGATCTTTTTCAAGATCTAAATCCAATTCAAGATCACGGTCCAAGTCCCAGCCCAAGAAAGAAATGAAGGCTAAATCACGTTCTAGGTCTGCATCTCACACCAAAACTAGAGGCACCTCTAAAACAGATTCCAAAACACATTATAAGTCTGGCTCAAGATATGAAAAGGAACCAAGGAAAAAAGAACCACCTAGATCCAAATCTCAGTCAAGATCACAGTCTAGGTCTAGGTCAAAATCTAGATCAAGGTCTTGGACTAGTCCCAAGTCCAGTGGCCACTGATAGTATAAACCATGATATTTTAGGCATGTATCATTCATTTACTCATAGTTTGGTTTACTTAAATTATCAGGAATACAATGTTGCAATGATGCTTACAAAACACTTGTCAGTTTTCCCTGTACCAGGCAATGGTTATAATTAAAGTGATATGCTGTTGAGAAGCCACTCTTAAGAGTCCAGTTTGTTTAATGTTATGGGCAGCTACCAATTTGTGGTGTCTCTGTATATTTTTGTAAAGATTCTCATTTTTTATGCTTGAAGTATTGGTGGAAAGATGTTGGTTGACCATAATTTGCAACATTGTCTTATTAAAAACAAACTCATATCCATATTTGGTAGACCTGTTAACCTAGAAATATAGCTTGCTAATAAGATAGAATGATACAAAAGTGAAGTTGTAGCCACAGTACACTGAGTGATCAAACACATTTAGGTTCAGGGTGGACCTTTTTGTCTTAAGATGTTTAGGCCCGTGAAAATAGTTAATTTATGACCCAGTGTGGAATAGTTCTTTTCTTAACCCCACCATCTTAGGGAGTAATGCAACTGGATTAAGTAGCATTTCCAGGGAGATTGAGTTTTTTATTGAAACATGGAGCCTTCACTGCTTTTTTCTAGTTTCTAAGATTTGGAATATATAAACATCAGAAAAACTCACCTTAAAATTTGAACAGGTCATTGATGACAAATTTGAGGTGGAAATGATGCTCTTATGTAGTTACTCTAAACTTGAAAGAACATTGTTGACCATAATAGCTTAGTTTTTGCTGCTGTTATAAACAAGTTAATTGTTTCACAGTAAGTTTGTGTGTACATAGTGTAGAAGAACTGCATTTTGATGCTTATAGCACTTGTTGTATGTGCATTTGTATCAAAATTTGCCTTCCTCTTTATGAAGGAGGCTTGTTCTTCACACCTGTTCATTTAATGTGAGGCAAATTGAAAGACACTCCCATTCTAGGTGATTCTGTGGTGCCATGAAAAAGAATTGATGGATTATCAATGTGTAGTACCTGACTAAAAATGAGGAAAAAATTCCCTTTAACCATTTTATAATTTCTAGCATTTCTCTTGAGAGATCGTTTTAGGGACAATAAGTTACTTGATGTGTCCAGTCTCATTTCAGAATAAAAGCTAGCATCTTCAAAATTTTTAGATTGCTTGCTTGCCAGGTTATAAGTAAGAAATATTGTGGGAAAACGACTCCTTTTAGAGGATTGCTTTTTTCAATTTTGCTTTTAGTAATATAGGCCTTGCCTGTAAAGAACAAAAGGTGGTTTTTAAATACTGTTTGTGGAATGTGTTTAAAGGTTGATTCTAGGACCTTTGTATATTTGATAGTATTTCTAACTCTCATTTCTTTACTGTTTTGCAGTTAATGTTCATGTTCTGCTATGCAATCATTTATATGCACGTTTCTTTAATTTTTTAGATTTTCCTGGATGTATAGTTTAAACAACAAAAAAAAAGTCTATTTAAAACTGTAGCAGTAGTTTGCAGTTCTAGCAAAGAGGAAAGTTGTGGGGTTAAACTGTATTTTCTTTCTTATAGAAGCTTCTAAAAAGGTATTTTTATATGTTCTTTTTAACTAATATTGTGTACAACCTTTAAAACATCAATGTTTGGATCAAAATAAGACCCAGTTTATTTTCTGCTTGCTGTAAATGAAGCAAACATGCTATAATAAAAACAAAATGAAGGAAATAATGATTAACTGGAATTATTATAGTTTATAATGAGATCCTAAAATAACATGGAATCTTTTGTAGATTGAGGAATAGTTTTAATCAGTGTTTCACTAGGCACAACGAACTTTTACTTTGGAAATGAATAGAACTTACCAGTAAGGTACATCTTTTACATGGTACTTAAAAATTCCTTATGTAATGTCAAAGCCCCTTGGGTTAAATAACTTAAGAGGTTATTACAATAGTAGTGTTAAGATATGCATTAAAGTGAAATTTGGTCAGCTGATTAGAAGTTTATTGGGTAGACCAATAATTCTGCTCTTCCCAGTCCTAAACAAGATATGTTAGGTCTTGTGTTTATGGCATGGTTTAAAATGCTTTTGCATTGAATTTGATAAGCAATTAATAAGTGATAACTGGGGAGCTGGTTTAGGTTTTTGAATTCCAGCTACTAAATAATGGCAACCATTATAGCTGATAGTTATTGAGTATTTATGATGTGCCAGACACTGTTCTAAACCCTATTAGATAAGATACTTTTATTTTCCCTATATCACAGATAAGGAAATTGAGGCACAAAGAAAGGGCCAGATTATTGAGTCCAAACCTGGTCCTCTTGTGGTTTGGTGATTGTTTTTTTGTTTTGTGGGTTTTTTTTTGTGTGTTTTTTTTTAATGGATTACAATTTGAGAAAAGTACATTGAGGAGATGATTCTCAATCTCTAGAATTAAAAGACCTTGTATTTTCTTTTTCTTTTTTTTTCTTCTTTTTTTTTACTTGTGTCTCTTATTTTTAGACTCGTCTGTGTTATTTCTGAAATAAAATATGTAACAGAGCTTCCAAAGGACTATATTATAGTTGAACCCATAAGAGTTAGGATCCTACTGATACTGATGAGGATCCTTATACAGTGCTTTAATTTTGGGTTACATACTTGAGTTACATAATTATTGAGTACCCACTGTGTGTCTGGCACTGCTTAATATATTAAACCATCAAGACTCAAGTGAGGGATGACACTTCACCTCTCTTTACATTTTGTTTTAAGCCAAATAAGCAAGAAGAGAAATGACAGATAATGCCTCAGTGAGAAAGAAAAGGTGTGCTACTTAGTGTATGAGCTATTAAGGTATAACCCTGGGAACTATTGTACTGTTCTCTTGAAAATCTGGCCCAGTAAGCTGCTACATCCAGTTCAACTAACAAAATCCTGTATACCACAGAGAAGAATAAAGAAAACCAAACTGACAAACATCCTTCTTTTATTTAAGACCAAACTGCAGCTGGAATACCCAGTACAGTTCTGCTTACTACACTTCAAGAAAGATCTGAGAAAAGCGGAAAAAGAACCAAAGAAGGGCAGTTCAAGCGACCAAAGGGTGGGTGGAAGGTGCTGCAGTATGAATACTGTGTGAATATTTTGACTCTGGTCTGAAAAGATAAAAGAATGTTATTGAAACTACATGGAATAATTGAAGTCCCTTCAAGTTTGGAAGTAAGCATTTTAGGACAAATAAAAGGAAATTCAGCTTTGTACTTGTGGAAACTAATCCCTAAATCTGAGTAGGTTTATATTTGATTCATGGATAACAGGTCCATAATAAATTACTGGAAACTAGGATGTCTCAATATCACGGTAGACAGCCATAAGTCTCCTACAGTGCTGCTTTTGGTCTGTCTGAAACAATTGGGTGAGAAAAGGCATGGTCCAATTTAAACTTTTTCTTGGTTCTCTCTTAAAGTCAGATTCATTTTTGCTATTGGTAAATATTGCCTTTGTTCCAGTGCCAGTGTTTCACTGTTTAATGGTTTGCTTTGTTGGCATCTGAGTTTATTTACCTGTATGCCATGTGCAGTTTACATCTTCCTTAAACACTATTCCCAGGTAAATTCTAATTATAATACTTGACATCCAGTTAAGAGGTTCTACATCTCACCTCTTTCTTAGCATATTCACAAACATTTACTGAGCCCTTTACTATAAGCAACAATTGTACTGGATAATTGGGAGGAAAAATAGATTTAAAATTCACTTATTCAATAAATGTCTGAGCACAATCTAGTGAATGACATTACAGAATGGCCTCATTGTTTTGAGGTGTATTGTTTGACAATATTTTACACCATATCTTAATGTAATTATAAAACCCAGTATACTATCAAAGATAAGTAATTTTGTGGTTACCTGACATTAAAAAGTATCTGGTATTTCTGTTTGCATCCCATTAATACAAATAATGAAAAAATGATGTTTTGATCTGTAATAAACTGATTTATTGTGCAGTGACTGTAATATACTAGAATTATATTGTTTACTGCCTCCTCAAACACACATTAGGAGATAATCCCCCCAAAAAGTATTTCATTTTGCATTAGATATACAGGACACTGGGTGCTATAATTAGATTATTTTGAGGCAGAAAGAGAGCTGTTATTCCAACTGACTTAGTATGTTCTGTAACTGAGAAAATGTTCGCCAAGTTATACTTTTTAGTGATTGACATGTACATTTTGTAGGGGACATGTTCTGTGTATAGTGAATAAATAACTTTTATAGTATCACAAAATGTTTTGGATTTCTTAGTTCCTTATTAGGATATGAAGGCTATTTGCCTATATATTGATTCCATTGCTCTTATTTTTGTCATGTTTCTGCCACATTTAAACTTAATGTTATTCATCTAAAAATATGGGTTTTGTAAAGATTTCAAAAATATAGCAGAACACACAACTAAGGGGAGGTATGAACTGGAGGTTTATGTAAGTTTTTCTATTCTGAACTGGAGGTTATTTTTACTCATGTTAAATTTTGAACTTGGCCAAGATACAATACATAGAGAATGGCAGATTAACTGGAGTCCATGATTTTTTCATTTAGTTCATCTTTGTCACAGTTTTGCACTGTACTTTTCAACAAATGGGAGCGTTTTATAGCTTAAAATTACCAGGGAATCTAAGGTTCACTGAGGGAAGATTTATAAGATAGGTTTAATTGCAAAAAAGTATTTTGTCACTCTTCTGAATGGAAGTTGTTAAATGTAACCCAAGCTCTCACAGCTGTTGTGACACACTTTTTCCAGGCTGGTTTCCCAAATTTCAATATTAGATTGCATTTTTATCATATTCCCATTTACAAAATCCTGAGATATTCTGAAATAGGGGAGCTATGACTTGAGACAGCAGAGGGGTAACTCAGGAATAATCTAATGGCATTCTGCTAAGAGCTATTAAAGCCTTTAAGAATCCCCAGAAATAAACTTCTCATTTATAAAAATGAAGTAAAAGCAACCCATTTGTCTCAGCTGTTGACATCCATGAGATAGGACTGGTTGCTATGGAAAAGTTCTTCCTAGGGTTTTCACCCTTTGCCCCTTCTTCCAACGTTGTTAATGTTTAGTGCTTTATGTTTTGTATTCCTAACCTTCATTTCACCCTTATATTAAAGATGGGATTATTTTTTGTTTGGAATAAAAGCAAAGCATGTTAAATTCATTTCATTGATAATTGCCAGAGTAGTTTAAGTAAAAGGCCTATGTGAAGTTTTTTATGGATCACATCTCTTTGAATAATGGAGAAATAAACTCGTCTAGGAGCCAAAAAATATTGGGGCTTTCTTTTGTGTGTAAGGTTTTAAGACATACACTGTCCTTGTTTTGCTAAGTAATTGCCTATGAGAAAACAAATACTAGAAAACTTGCCCCAAACCCCTCTGTTTCTTGCTACTTTGTGCTTGTTTTTAGGAAAGAGAACTTACCAGAATTTAAATGTAAGGGTAGGTTAAGGACTCAGATTCCCGGTATTATACACTGCCATCAAAAGATAAATGTAAATGTTAACACGATTGCCATAAGACTCACAATATAGCTTTAAGTGTATTTTGGTTTCTTCAAGTACTGTGATTTGGGGAATTCCTGTCACTGTAAGGCTAACCACAATTTTATGCCTTTCTAAAGTATGTGATGTTGATATCATTCACCTTTTAGATTACCTTAGCTGTTAAAACTTCCCAGCCCTCAATCCTCTATCATTTCAGTCATAAAAGCCAACACTATTTTATTTACGAGAAAGGGAGAAACATTAGCTGCCTACAACGAGGGCACATGTCCTGACCCAGAATCAGGGAGACATCTCAGCATGGGAGAACACCCAATCAAGCCATGCCAGCCAAGGCAGGGCTACACTTTGAAATTACAGGGTGGCATTGGTTAATAAGATTCCAGGTTTCAGATATATAGTTCTACAATACACCCCCTGAATGTATTTTGTTTTTAAATATATTTTTTATTTTTGAGGTAGGGAAGGGAGAGAAACATGGTTCAGCTGCCTCCTGCACACCAACTAGGGATCAAGTTAGCAACCTCTTGGTGCCTGGGTTACTGCTCAACCAGACATTAGCCAGACCACCCCCTGTATATTGTATTGTGTTTACCACCCAATTTACACCGCATTTAAATATATGCAAACCATAAACTATCAAAAGACATCTATGGTGAGAATTGTTTGGTCCTAAAAGAAAAACTTGGCAATACTTTATAGAAGTTAATTTCCTACAAATTATTTCCGTTTGTGAGAATATAAATTTACATAGCATTGCTGTGCAAGTGTAGAATTTAAAGGATTCTCGTTCATTTTAGGAATTGTGCCTTAGAACATAGAATAGGGAAATTTAAATAAACCCGCTTTACTCAACTTGATAGCAAACTAGGTAGCTTATTCTGCCTGTAGCCTTTTGCTGTTAAGTCTTAAGTGGTGGGAGGAGGGGGATGTCTCAAAAGTAATTAAAACCAAACCTGATCCTCAGTTGGGTTATGTGCACTCTAAGAATAAGTAGTAGGCAGTCATAGCAATATTTTATAAAGTAAAAAAGGCACTGGGTAGAAAAAGCAGTTTTATTTTTAATTCAGTGTTTCAAATTCATATATGCACATTTAGGAACAAGCAGTTTGTCTTTAGGATGAGTTGGGCAACATTAGCTTGCCTTAATTTATTTGGATACACACAACTTGGTCATTCTGCCTGAAAATTGTAAAAATTGCCCACCAAGACCGGTTTTTGGCTCAGTGGATAAGAGCGTCAGTCTGTGGACTGAAGGGTTCCGGGTTCGATTCAGGTCAAGGGCACATTGGTTTTGGGCACATCCCCAGTGGGAGGTGTGTAGGGGGCAGCTGACCGGTGTTTCTAGCTTTCTGTCCCTCTCCCTTGTAAAGTTTAAAAAAAAAAAATCAATAAAACATTAAAAAAAAAAAACCATCCTACCAAATTAGAAAATAGGGCCCTGACAAATATTTAATGTTTTTATTGATTTTAGAAAAGGAAACATTGACCTGCCACTTCCTGCACACCCTCCACTGGGGTCACCCAGAATCTTACTGGTGATCTGGTCTGTGGGTCAATGTTCAACCACTGAGCCACACAGGCAGGGCTATAATCAGAATTTTAATTGATCTTTACACATTTTTAACTTACTATTTGGTTAACATTGCCCTTAGCATTTATAAAGTAGGTCAGACATGTTACCAAGATACTATGCAAGAAATATTTCGCGTAAGTGGTCCCCTGCTTGCACTTAATGGTGACAAACTCTGGCATGATTACATATACTTGTATCATAGGTCAAAAACATTCAAAGTGAATATAAATCTTTAGGGTTGGATAGACCTTTAACAACTTTATCTTTGGGTTTAAGGAATAAAAATTAATAGTCCCATACTGCATTTCACATCTTTTACAAATAGGAAGTGTTTTAGCAGCTTTAAAACCTTTTCAGTTATATAAAACTTAGCGACACTATGATTTACTTTGAAATATAGTTTACAACCAGATCATATAACATACATACACTGGCACTTTAGCACAAGGGCAAACTTTATTTCAGACCTTTAAAATTAGGCCATAGTGTAAAAAGAGTCCATGGTCTTATATTAGTAAATTCATACTAAAATATTCTTGTTTTTGTTAAGATGAATGGCAAAACTTTACATATGCTACAAGTATATTACATGTATTTATTTACATGGCTCTTTCCTGGGTACTTTCACATTATATAACTCCCTACTTTAAGCAAGCTTTGCAGGAATGATTTGAGGCCAGACACTATCAGAATAGCCTGTGCAGTGCTATAATACAAAAATGTATTTTAAAAGCTATTCTGTGACCACCAAATAACTTTCTATAAAAAATGGTTTTGGCACGTTGGTTGCAGTCACCTATCCACTGCATTTAAGAAACAGGGCCAATGGGGGATACAGTCTCATTCTAACTAGCTCCTAGTGCCTCTTCCATATGCACCACTTTTCGGTACTTTACCCACAACGAGAAAAAGTTGATTCCCTTACCATTCCCCAAATCTAAACTTGAATAGTTTTGCTTAAAAGTTACTCAACTGAGAACACCTGATATAAGTACAATTATCAGTAACTTAGTTATCTTAAGTGGCACTGATAATACCATTACATCACAGTGCACAGCAACACAAGACAAGATGAAGTCTGCATTTTCTACATTAATTAGGGGGCTTAACACAGATTGATTGCCGAACATTGAATTTGGTATGAAACTATTGTCAACTACCCTACTTTAAACATTAATACTTGATCTTATTTTATACCTGTACCTTAAGTAAGGTTTTAAGTTGAAATGTCATTATTTCCTTATCAGAAGGATTAAAGGAATCAGGAACCCAGTGGCTTGGCGGTTTAGGAAGCACACTCGGTGATGGCGGCTCACTAAATTTGGCTCCAGCATAGTTCTGATTAGTTTGAGGCTTAAAAAGCAAGCTGGGACTCGATAAGCTGGAATTCCAATTTTGATTATTTGGAAAGTTTTTGTTCTTCCCCCCATTTTGCATGGCCTGCCATGCAGCTGCTGGTGTGTTATAAGTATGTCCTCTTTCTTTTTTCTTATGAACCATCTTCATCTGGGAATTTTGATCCTTGGTCTTCTGTCTATTAAGTTGTTGGTTCTTACTAACATTTCTAGATTGAGGGGCTGGAATGTTATACCTCTCTCCACCACCCATCTTCAGTTTCTTTGTCACCTGTAAATGAATGGAAACAAAATAAGATTCCATTACGAAAAACTCAAAACTTTTAAGCCCCAACTTGTTACTCCAGAAACCTTGGGGAAGACTAAAAAATGTGCTCCTCGGCCCTGGCAGAGTAGCTCAGTTGGTTAGAGCATCTTCCAGATATGCCAAGGTTGAAGTTCCATCCTTGGTCAGGACATATACAAGCAGCAGCCAATGAATGCACAAATGAATGGAACAACAAATCTATCTTTTTCTCCCCCTCTCTCTCTAAAAGTCAATTTAAAAAATTTTAAATGTGCTATTTAGCTGCTTTAACTTCATTGTATGTTCACACTTCATTATATGCAGTTATTACCTTTCTTAGAAAAATTACCTTACCCACAAATCTGAAAAATCCTTTAAAAAAAAAAAAAAAAAGCAAGTGCTTTACGATGCGTCTACCGTAAAAGGTTCTACCTTTCAGTCTGCTTTTCAGATTGCAGGATTTCCACCACCTGTCCTCTTCCTTGTTGCCAAGCCCAGGATAATAGATGTTGCTTTCTCACAGATCCTCTCCTTTGTCTCAATACATAAGTTTTCATGGGCCAATCCGCTGAGTTCAGCCTAGGAGCTGAGGCCAACATCTGAGTCGCCTCAGCACACAAGTTTGAGAGAAGTCTTAGCTAGAAAAGGAAAGGGACTTCATTAATTCAAATAAACACAATAGAAAAAGCGATTGTTTACATTTACTACAGAAGTGGTCTACTACTTCCTGAACTAAATAAAAGGCAGAAAACCTGAAGATGGCTTGCTTTACCTTGTAACTGTCACTTAAGAACTCTCCACCGGGAGACCCAGGACTCCTTCCCAGGGAACTTGGGGACCGGAAGGGTGTCTCCCCCGCCCTCCCCCCCATAAGCTGTTGGTATCTTTTTCCCAGCGAACTTTTCAGATTCTCAAACTGTTTTCGTGACCACAATGTTGAGTTAGCTTAAAATTCGTTTCCTAAAAGGACCGTGCTATTAAAAGTCCCAAGAGAATTCGTCCTCTTTCGACACATCGTCTTCACAAGCCTGTTTTCCCAACGTGTCCAATCACGCAGCGCTTCCTCCTCCGTCAGGAACACCACCCCTCCCCGTTTCCTAAGTTCTCACACGCCACCCAGTTCCCCTCTTAGCACAGAAAAATGCCTCCCTGCCGTCAATACCCGACACTCCAGACTTCATTTCCACTCGATATTCCAAGACATGAGAAACGAAGTTATCAATAGGCCCCCCTGAAATTAATTATCACAGCCTTAAATTAATTATCTCCGGGGCCGTGAGTCACTCACAACGCGATCCCGGAAGTTCGCTCCTTCCGGCAGGGCTCCGCCCGTCTCCGCCGGGCCCGGGACCCTGGGACCCTGGGACCCTGGGACCCGGGGACCCCGGCCCTCCGGCCGCCCGCGCCCCGACGGGCTCCCGGATCTCGCCTCCTTCCCCCAACAATGGGGAGCAGGCCGCCAACATGGCCGCGCCCACGGCGCCGCCACTCACCGACTTCAAGCTCGGGACTGCGGCGGCGGCTCCTGCCGGTAACGAAGCCCCCTCCCCTTCCAGGGAGAGACGAGGCACGGGACGGACACAGCCCACGAGCACCCACGACCCAGCTGCTGGTCACCTCAGGGTCCCGACGACTTCCTCCTCTGTCTCTGCCGATAAAATGGAGGCTGCGGCGAGCGCAGCAGCGGCCGGGAGGCACGACGGCCAATCAGAACGCGTGGACGTGGGGCCGGCCAATGAGGCGCGGGCCGCCGCCTGTTGCTGGGCGGCGGGGCCTGCGGCGGAGGCTGTTGCCGGGGTTTGAAAAGCTCCCGGAGAGGGGCATGCCGGGAAGCACTGCGGCGGCCGCTGGTGACGCGAGGCTCCTCCGCGGCGCCGGCCGGCCGGCTCCACCCGGCGCCCCGGGCCTGGCGGCCTGTGCGCCCTCAGCCCTGGGGGATCGGCGCCGGCGCCCCGACCCGAGAAGCCCGCTCTTCCGGCGCCTGGAAGGGGCCTCCGCCGCCCGCCGGGCAGCCGCTTCCGCCCGGCACTCCCGCGGCCCTCAGGACCCGGTAGTGACTGAGGAGCCGTTGGGCTCAGCATCCGCGTTTCTCAGACCGGACCGCCCTCCGAGGCCCGGCGCCTGCCCTCTGCCCCTCGCACTCCCGCCGCGCCGCGCCCGCAAAGGTGGCTGCTGCTCTCAAAGCCTGCGGTCCCTCCGGTCCTCGCCCCCGGCTTCCATCTTCTCCCGAAGTGGCCTCCGCTGTGAACGCTTTTCCTCCCCGGGCAGGCGCGGACCAAGCCCCTCGCTTCCTCTCAGGGTCCCCACTGCGCCCCCACTTCCACGGAGCCCTTCCTCCATCTGCCACACACGCCCCAAACCCTGGGGGGCCAGGCTAGGCTTTATTTCTGTGAGCACAGGGTGCGTGCACAGGTGAATTTGTTGAAGGAATGGGGCTTCCTTATTCCCCTTCCTGGCCAATTAATTTGCAAGTGAAAATCGGGAGCTGGGTGGAGTTTGCTGCGAGGTGCAGGGTTAGGAAAAGGGCAAAGTGAGTGTTTAAAAAAACACCAATGTCTGACGATATGTACATTTTGTTACTGGATTCCTATACACTTTTTTAAAAAATATATTTTATTGATTTTACACAGAGGAATTGAGAGGGACAGAGAGTTAGAAACGTCGGTGACAGAGAAACATGGACCAGCTGCCTCTTGCACCCCCCCCCACTGGGGATGTGCCCGCAACCAAGGTACATGCCCTTGACCGGAATTGAACCCGGGACCCTTCAGTCCGCAGGCTGACGCTCTATCCACTGAGCCAAACCGGTCCCGGCCCTATACACTCTTTATAAGTTCCACATCATTCGTTTTTTAACCAGTTTTTTGTTCCATTATCCCCACCCCCGTCCTCTCCTTGTGTGTCGTCGTCGTGTCCACCGCTCCCCCTCTCCCTCTCCCGCCACTCACATTATGTTCTTCCGGCCCTGGGTCT